ACAGGATCTGTTTTCATTGTTTTTCAGAACAACTATACCCTTTAAAATGCTTGACCCAGGATCTAACAGAACAATGAAATAATCTGTTTCCCAATCATAATGTAGTCCCTCTTGCAAAGAGTCACCTTCTTTTATGGAGATGCATGCAATAACATTTAAGGCTAATTTCAAGTTCATCACCATCCAGGCAACACCACCTCTGTTGGTTGTTATTCTCCTCTATTATAGCCTACATCAAAATTGCTTGTATGGATTTTACTTCTCAGATATGGCACTAAGGTCTATCACAGGTTCCCTTGTGCTGAGCAAATCACAGACTTGCTAAAAATCAGTCTCCAAACTGTTGATGTTTCTGCAGTGACTTTCAAACGGAAGTAGTAGTTATAATCCACTACAAAACCAAATCTTGCAGGACAGATAAAACTACTGCTGCCCAGGCAGGTACACCCTGTACCCAGCCCTCAAAGAATGCAGTAGTCCTGCAGCTGGTCTTACATCTTTTTATGAGAGAAACCCAAACACTTTGCAAAGGCACAGGTATGACTCTTATGATCTAAGAGGCACTACAGCATCCTTCAAAGCCTGAGGATGCAGATGGCAGAGAGGATGTCTGAAAAATAGAATGAAAAGCAAGTCAATGTACATGACTCTGCACTTGTACAGCAACAATGCTGGGATTGAGGGAGATGGGGTTGCCTCAGTGTCCAGACTTGAGGGGCCAGAACTCAGTCTCCAGCTTCCACACGAAGGTGAGCACTGCCTGGACATCTGCAACACTCCTGTGCCAGCTCTCTGACATCTTTGTAAAGTACTGAGTAGTATGTGGCCATTATAGTCTGGAAACTGTGCACACCTAGGGGCTATCAGATGTGGCAAAGCAATTTAGTTTTGCCATGGGTGGTGTCTGAGATGATAGCACTTCCCTTGGACTTCAATTGCAATGTGTTTTCCCAGACTTCCAGAGAGCAGTACAGCTACTAATAACATGCATATGGATTTCTTCTTCGAAATGAGGAAATGTCTAAACATCCCATGATCCTCTTTGCCCTGTTGGCCTTGTGCAGGCCAACCAATTCCCACTCAGATGAGGGGAACCACAGTGTGAAGAGAAGGAATGAATGATGCTATGCTTTATTGCTCAAGCTCTATAAATTTTTACTTTAAAACAGGCCACTGTTTGGATAAATTCTCTGCACTTTATGTGCATTTCTATGCTCAATTACACATGTTTTGTTCCCAATGAACTTTTACATGTGGGTTAAAAGATTTTCATTCTTGATTATTGTGTCTCAGTTTGGTTCCTGAAGCATTTCCTGAGCTTTTTGTTGTGTTTCCCCTTTCTGGTTGCTTCAGGGTAACGGAGCATCTCTTCATTGTCTACGCATACCACTTCCTGCATTCCCCCAAGATTTAGTAGAAGTGTCACAGTTTCCCTCTACCACATAAATTGGGTTTTAAACATACAGTTAATGGGGTCAATAGGTAAAGGACTCTACCAAATGTGCGACATGAGAAAGATAACAAAGACTGTGTGGACTGCAAACAAGAGAGATTCTTTGAAGCCAGGATACTCTAGCCAAGATTTAATAAAACAACAAAAAGAAAGAGAAAAACTAACTGAACCAAGAACAAAGGGCAGTATCACAAAGTAACCGTTATGACATGCCAAAAGAGCTGCAGAACAAAGAAAATGAAAATACAAAGCTGCTCAAAACAAACAGGAGCAAAGTTCAGGAGAAAGCTATACACAAAGTGCAAAGCACTTTAGGGTCAACCCCAAGCATGTGTGGGAAAGTACAGGCTGTGTTTATTACTCTATCTCCTGCATGCGTTTTTACCCTCTTCTCATCTTTTGATGCATGTGGGGCAGTACAGAGTAGCTCAGGCTGATTTTTCCCTTTCTGAATTAATAAGGAGCCTCCCACAGGGCACGGGAAATGCTAGGGGAGCAGAGCCTGCAAGCAACCCAGCACGCTCCAGGTGACCAACCTCACAGATGGAGGGTCACGCTTGCCTTGCATTTAGCAGCAATATGTGTGTCAAAGATCGTCCAGGCTCTGGAGTTTCCAACTGCTAGCGTCAGCACTACTGCAAACAGTTATCAGGAACCTCAGCAGAGAAGGTGTTTGGACCAGGCCATCCCACAAGTCTCCAGGGTGTTAGCAGTCATTTTCTCAGACTGTTAGTCATCTCTGTTGCCAGTCTATCACAGTGGAAGATTAAACAGCAGCCAGGCTGAGGGAGAAAAAACAAGCCTGAAGCATTAGCAAACTCTTTGTGGCTGGCACCCACTGTGGACTGCTTGACTGTTTCCTTATCAGCATTGAATCCTGGTTCCATGGACATTCTGGCCAAAAATCAGAATCCTCCAGCCTGGTAGACAGTACTGCAGCAAGTAATGCTTCTCACACTGAGGCTGAAGTATTAATTCTTATGTACACCTCAGGCTAAAACGCAGGGTGTCGGCATTTGCTATGGTGGGTGTAATGGTCTAATATCACTGCATAAAATAACAGCAAACTAAGGGACAAGGGGAAAAAATAGTAGCTTCAGTAAACAGCAGGTCTAGTAGTGCATCAGAGCTTCCATGTAGCAGGGAGAAAAGAGAGGTGAGTCAAGATCAGCAAACTGGGGATGCCTGCTGGCCTCCTTGTCGGCATATGGCCTTTGATGAAGTCCTGTGCACAGAGCAGGGCTAAGCTCCACTCAGGAGAGCTCAGGAGCAGTGAGCGAGCTGAGTAACCAGGGCAGCACGTTCAGTCTCATCCCCTGGAGTTCAGCTGAGCTAGGCATGTTGCTACTGGGGCAGACGTGGTGTACAAGGAGGGGGAAGGATGTTTAATGACTGGCTTAAGGAGACAGCCTCCATCATTAATATATATTGGTGGAGGATGTGAATCTGAGCCAAATCTCTCTGGGGTACTGGAATCAGCTGTCAGAAGTAGCCACCATGTAAATGAACACACATTAGAGCAACCAGATATCTAGAGGAGCACGTGAGCTGGATCAAATACAAGAGGGAGGGCAGGTTTATGGCTTGCTCTGACTGTGGAAAAATAAATGGATCTAATTCACACACACTTGCTGAGATCCCTTTGCCACACGAATCACAAGTGAGTTTTGTCAGTGGGATTTCTGTTGCCAGAGAATCTGTCCTGATTGTTACACATCAGGTGGAGCTGTCAGCAGTGACAGGTAGAAGAAAACTAATCTTTCAGCCAGTTCAATAGGGAAGTGATTAAGGGTGAATGAATACAAGACAGCATTATGGTATTTTCACAACCTCGTTTCTGACTCTAATTTCACTATAAGGAAGTTTGTTGGCACTTACTGGAGGAATAAGTGAGTAGGGGGGGAATACCTCCTTTCTCCTCTTGTGTTGTGCTGAAAAGTGGAATTAAATTATTCTGCTCACAGACAGATTGTTCCAGTAAAATAGAATTTGAAGCCACCAGGGGCTCATTGAGAAGAGAAGCTTTTACACTATATGAAAAGGCAAGAGACAAAACCCTTGCCAAACTCCTTCACTCTTTATTACCGACAGCTGCAATGCTGGATGCGTCTGGATGCCTTTTAAGTGCCAAGGGGAGTGATAGAGGTGGGATGGCATGTGAGCAGATGAAATACACAGCACCTTCTCCCCCGACAGCAAGTTTAATTATTTGCACTGTTGTATACACAAGAAAAAAAATATACACATATTGGGAAATCATTCACTCTGATTCCTGTGTCAGGTGGATTATGAAAAACACTTGCTCTTGCTGGTCCATGGCAGAACAAGGTCTTAAAATATTCAGAACCTGCATATGCCTTTGTCACAGAAGGGAGGAAAAACAAGGTAGAATGTATTTCCTAAAGAAGGAGGACATAAATATATCAAGAGAGCAAAACCAGATGCGCTTTGCTATATGAACCGATGTAGCCAACAGAAGTCAACCTAACCAAACTTTAAGTCAAAGAAATACCATCTTCTATGTATTTTCATTCCAGAGAACTTTCTAACACATCACTTCTTATCCCATCTGTATTTTAAGATCACTGGAACAGGAAGAATCTCAATCTTTTGTCTGTTCGGTGCTCAACCAACTAATACCAAATTGTGCTTTGTTGGGGTCAATTTTCCCAAATCCCTATCCTCCAGGATCCAGGACCTCATGTGACATTTCAGGGTGACCATTCAAGATGTGCAATGCTCACTAATTCACTAGCCATGGTTCAAAGTCCTAAGTCATTAATAAATCCTATCAGTGATAATATAACCTGTGAGTCTATAGACTAGAGTAAAAAGATGCAGACAGGTAATCTCTCTGTAATCTGCAGTTTAGGGGATAAGCACAACGGACTCAGAAATGACAACGATTTGTGCAAGGTTGGAAAGCCTTGATACACTTGCTTAAATCGATGACTTACAACTGTCAGCAGCTTTTCTGGATGAATAAGAACCTGTTTCCATTCTACATGAATTTATCTCTACTGCTGTTAACTTCAGCACACCTATGAACAAGGCCTACATGAGGACTGGCAGGTTTGAGGTGCAGCATGATGAAGACCTGCCAGTTCAAATCCCAGCTGTGCTAAAGAAAGCATGCACGATATTTTCTGAGCAGCTCAGGGGTAGTCATGAGGTCTATTCTTTCTTGGATCTTGCAAATACAATGTTTGTTCATGCAAGAAGCTTCTTCCTCTCTGCATTTATGTAATGCTGGCTGCTGTACCCTTACAGCATATACATCTAAACATTAAGATTGTAATACATCATGTGAGGCCATACAATGAGGACAAGATATACCAAGCTTTTCAGAACACATTCTGTGCCATTTCAAGCAGCTAACCATATCTTTCCCCTGCACACATGAGCATTAAATGAGTACATTTTATAGATAAACCACCAGACAAAGTGGTTGCTGTGCTATTGACCTAGTGCCTATATTTGAAAACCAGAGTCAGACACATGAAAAAGCTCCATAAATTGCAAAAGAAGAGAGAACTATAGGACTTGCCTCGCAGGGGGAGTTCCTCAAGGGAGCTGGAAATGCAGTGCTGGTCATGACAGTGTTTGCTACTGCTGGTGCTTTGCTGGTGTTAAGGAGGAGTACACAACCTAGATAAAAGAGCAGGAAGAAGGTCAAACTGCAGCACTCACCTTCTGGTTTCAGGGCTTGTGAAACCTCCCCAGCACCTATGTCAGCTGGCTCCTACTACAGGAGAATGCCAAAGAGAAGAAGGCTTTTTCAATTTATTAGGGATGCTGCTTCACTCAACAAACATACTCAGGAAATACATTTAAGAAGTTTGTCTGCCTTCCCCCTACAGCTGTCTTCCCTTCCTCCATGACTTAAGATTCATCCTCCTTGCAAGGCTGAGTAACAAAATGTATCTTTTATGAACAAAAAGTAACTTGGAGAAGGATATTCATCTTGGCCAATCCCAAAACAAAATACAATTATGGCAAAATACCACCAGTGTAATACTAATGCAGCTGGAGGCCTCTTTGCTCCTTTAATCATTTGTTGTAACAAGAGGAACAAGGGCAGTAACACTAGTGTTTTTCCTTGGCAGTTCTGTATGAAAACGTGTGTATTTGCACTATTTCAGCTCTGCCCTCAAGCTCAGGAAGGTACCACTACGTAGAGCCCAGTTATTTGGGTTTTCACTGAAATTGCCTCTACAGCATAGACAAACCATGAATCAGCAGCACTTTATTGCCAGCTCCCCACAGTACCTTCTTTCTGGCTCTTTGCCTTCATGTTTACCTATGCTTCCATCACTCTGTGGTCTGTAACACTGCAGGCTGAGCCATCAGACAGCACAAATGCACTGTAGTCTATACCAGTGCACACATCCATGTTGCTATTCATGTTTAACTCCAGATCTGACCTTCTCAGGCAATGCTGGGATTACATACCATTAACTCTGCTGTTATTATTGTATCCCTTTAGATGCTCTGTGCCTCAGCAATAAATGCCTCCCGGGATTTACATTATTGCATTAGGAAAAAGCTTATCCTGGCAGGTAGCCTGTTTGCCAAAACTCAACTAGCAGTTCAATGGTTCAAAAACTCAACCAGTTCAAGACCCATGGTATAAACCTTCAATGGATCGTACAAGAAGGATTAGAAATGAACTACTGGGATTTGGCTAGAGGAACCAAGTGTAATTATACATAAAAGTGGAACTCAAGGGACACTGGATCAAAGAGAAGAAAAATTAGGAACTGAGA